CTCATTCATTCATCTCAACGCCAGGGAACAAACGCTTTCTATTGGATTTCACTACAAGGTCAAAGTTCACTCCTTTTTCCCCATTGAAAAAGAATGTGAATTTGATGATAGTTTTTTTCTTTCCTTTTCTGTCTGTCCCTCCCACCACAAACTCCACCCCCCCACCCCTCCCCCCAACCACTTGCTTTCTCTTTTATTAGCCTGACCACTAAAGGAACAAAACACAACCAGGCAATGGGTTTCCTATTAAAGTCGAACAATTAGATAGAAGACTGCAGGAAGACGTGGTGTCAGCCTGCTGCAAAAAAAATTGGACAAATGGCTAGTGTAACATCAGCCCCTTTCCACTTGGCCTGAAGTCCTAACAATAATATATCACTCATCTGCTGGCAGTGAGGGACTTCTTCAAAGGCTAATCCTACTCATGCATGTACTCACATAGAAAGCAAGAAATATAGGCTGCATTTTGGTTGAAGGTAGGGGTGGGCCCTCCTGTACAGGGGTCATTATGGTGAGTGATACCATAACTCACTTTGAGGAGTGCATTCACTTGTTTCCTGCTCAACTCCTGCCCTAGTGTCCATTCAGAAACAAGACATGCCAATTTGAGCTCCGAATGCCCAATTCTCCTGGTGCTTGCTCGCCTCTACCTGGCTCCTGATTGCCATATACATATATTTTATTTCCCCTGTTTTGTCTTGTCTGGAAAGATGGGGAGACAGTCTTTTACAGAGGAGTCTTGGGGGCACAACGTACCAATATTAATGCAGCAAAATATGTATTAGTTATCAATTCCTGCCAATGTTTTAGAGCTTCAGGTGATTTTCACAGAGAATCACAAGCAGCAACCAGAATTTAAACTACTTAAAGGGAAGCAGTTCACAAGGAACTCCCTGAATATCTGAGGGCAAGCAAATCTACCTATAACCAACCAAAGTTCCCTCTTCAATCAACTCATGCTACAAGTGTAACTTAAAGATTCAATTTTAAATAGACTGACTTCCAGAGAAACTGGTTTCTCCCCCATATTCTAGGTTTTCTGACAAAAATTTCCCTTGTATTTTCTCCAAAACTAGGAATTTTGGGGATATCTCTCACTTGACTATTTAGAATAAATTGTACTAATGTCTGAAAACCATTACATTCACATCGAGGATACTGAATTGACCATTGCTTCCAAACATGACAATATCGATTCCCACATCACCCTGTCAGACAAAAATGCTGTGCCTGCATAAGGTGCTTCTGTAGTGCTGTAGTTTGCGGCAGGATCAGTGACAGTGTCATATCAATGCTGTTCTTGTTCATGGCCAGTTCAAAGGGTCTAGTAGAATGGCACCTTTTAAAAAGAGAATAGGTCAAGGGGAAGAGCTTCCATAATCATAACTTTTTTTTCATAAGAAGTAAATTTTTGGCCATATACTGAAGGGCAACTGGCATCTAGAAACCACAGCTCAACTTAGGGTCAGTATAGTCAGTTCATTGACATTATAATGGATTACAACAGAAAATGTCTGTTATAGAGCTGACATATGGTAGTACTGCATCATAAATACAGGCCACTCATCCAATCAGTCTATGCTAGTGTTTATGCTTCATTGGAAACCCCTCCCACCCTTTTTCGTCTAATTCCAAACACAGAGCTTTCAGCCCCTTTCTCCCTCATGTCTTCATTCAACTTCCCCTTAACTATATTTATAATATTCACCTCAGAAACTACAAGCAGCAGTAAGCTGCACATTACCAACCATGCCTGAGGAAAACAGTTTCTCCTGAATTACCTCTTGGATTTATTAGTGTCTATCTTATTATCATCATCCCTGGTTCTGGTCTACCCATAAGTGGAATCATCTCACTTGTGTCTATCCTGTATAATTCTTTCAGAGTTTTAAAAACTTCTATTAACTGTCTCTTTTCTAAAATAAAGAACCCAACCTTTTTGATATTTCTTGATAAGATATCTTCTCAGTTCTGGTATTATTGTTGCAAATCTTTCTTGCACCTTCTCCAGTACCTGTATGTGTTTTATACTAAGGAGACTAGAATTGTTCACAATTTTCTATGTGTGGTTCAACCAAGAATTTGTACACGTTTAAATAACTTCTCCAAAGATATTAAGAACTGCAGATGCTAGAGACAGAGATAACACAGTATGGAGCTGGAGGAACACAGCAGGCCAGGCAGCAACAGAGGAGCAGGGTCCTGACCCGAAACATCAACTTTCCTGTTCCTCTGATGCTGCCTGGCCTGCTGTATTCCTCCAGCGTCATACTGCGTTATCTATAAATAACTTCTCCTGTGCTTTTCAAATTTGACCCCTTTTTGTGCTTTGTTTGCATTTCAAAAATGACTTTATTCAACTAATACTCTACTTTCAGTTTAATATTCCTATGTCCCTCTATTGCAGTTAGACATTCTGAAATAAAAGTTTTGTATGCGTAGCACTGCTTCAAAGCAGTCCATTCCCTGAGTTCAGACAGTTCTGCTAGACTCTCCTTTCATTGCCCAGGTGAATTTCCTCATTGATACCATTGCACAAGTCATGTAGGTAGCATTGCAGTATTACCAGTGAAGGGTATATGTAAGATTATCAGGAACGTCAGAGTGAATTTTCATGAAGGAAGTGTGATATATCAGAGAGTGTAAAAGTGAGGGGTGTGGGGATGATTGTGAAGAATCTCAGGAAGTGTTATGGTGATGGATGTGTGGCATATCAAAGAATGTTACAGTGAGACTGTGCATATGATTATGAGGAATGTCAGAGTGTATTATAGTGAAGCATGTACGGTATATGAGACTGCATTACAGTTAGGGGTCTATGTAAGATTGTGAAATATGTCAGATTGTATTATAATGCTGTATTTGTGGTTTATCGCTGCCTAACAGTGAGAGGTGGGAGTGTATTAAAAATTCCAATCGCTATGACGTGACTGAGAGTATCTAGTTGAAATGATCCCCTACTCCCCTCCCCACAGATTTCTGTTATCTTATCCTTGAGGTACAGTTTTGTTGTAAACCATGAAAAAACCAATTGTATCTGCACTAGTAAAGCCTGTCAGCAGCCTATAATTAATTACTTATACAGTTATAGGAAGTATAAACCCCCTTCAAGAAAATATCAATTTAGGGAAATGAATCTTCCCAGCTCAGCTTGACTGTCTAAGGTCATATGTCCATTCCACATTCCACCACCCTCAGAAGAACCATCAAAGCTCAAATACGTAAATAATCATTTCTAGTCCAATGAAAGATAATTATGCTCTGATAAACATTTAATTTAGCATGACAGGCAAAAGGCACCAAAAGCATAACTGTTAGTCAAATTATTAGGTAGCACATTAAGAGTTAATGTGCTAAAGTGATGGGCTTTAATAGAATGAGTGCTAGGCTCTCATTCCTGATGTCTCTTCGATTTCAGCTAGGTGGATCAACACCAGGGTATTATCAGATATGTGATGTGGACCCAAAAACAGGTAAGGGCTACATCATAGTTGCACATGTCAGAGAGATTCTATGACTTAACTTTACATGTCTTACAGATTATAAACATAACTGTCCACATTTCAGATTGTATAAGACATAGTCCAGGTTGTATTCGCACAAATCCTTTACATTGGCACTGAGCATCAACCAATGTATGACACATAACAGACCGCTATTACGCAAGCTCTGATGTTTTTAGTAAAAATATCAAGTATTAGAACACATTTCCATGGTGGAGTAAAATTTTCCTGTCTGTGCAGGAGAGAATGAGAACTAATAAATGATACACCCAAATTTGATGGGTTTCAGCTAGCAAGAATGGGGTGAGATTCTACATGCTTCAAGAACTTAGGAATAAAATGTCTTCAAGAATTGCTGTTAGTGGATGGTTGAAAATGAATTCTTCTAATATTGTACTTTCTCTCCCCATTTCAACTGACTTTTATATTTCAAAAATCTGAAGTAATAAAAGATCTAATGATGTAAAAAGTAGCATTTGCAAGCTTTTTTTCTTTTCTTACACTTAAATTAAGGCTGAGTTTTAATACTTTATCTGTAATACACCAAATGCAATCAGAAACCTAACATTTTGCAATACAGAAGGACCATTTGGGCTTTCATGCCTCTGCCAGCTCACTGAAAATAGCTGTCCGTTTAATTCCAATTACTTCCTCTTTCATGTCAACTCCGAATCTTACAGTTTACTAGGATTAAGATATTAAAATTCCAACACCATCTCATTCACACCAGTTCACTTTGGCACCAATCTCAAAATGGATGCCCTTAATGTAGCAAAATGTCACAAAACTTTATAAGCAGAAATTATCAAACAAAATTTATCACTAAGTCACAATGATACAATCTTGATTAGTGACTTTGACTTGTAAAATCACTCAATAGGCATGGAAAATAGCACAGTCAAAACTTTGTGTATTCACAAATTGTTGTGTTGTAGTCGACAAAAAAATTAACTTCTGTTTGGTGTTTAATTCTGTGGATTCTATTTTCTCTCTTTTTTTCTGGGCTTGTGTGTGTGTCACAAAGTAATACTTTTCTATTGTGGCTGGTACAAAACTTTGTCATTTCAGTTTATTTGAGTACTGTTAAGGTAAGGGGCAGGGTGTAGGGAACATCTATGATTCTGGTAAGTACACTCAAGCAATGCTGTATCGAGTTTAATATGCACCCTCCAATAAGAGATGAACAGGCATCAAGAATAACAGCAAGCAATCTCAAACTCTCTAATAGGTCCACTGGGGTCTGTCAGGACAGATTTTTAGATAAGCCACTGCAGTGGGTCCCCCATCCTCATCTATGCCTCGTAAATCATGAAAAGGACAGTTTCTAACAGGTCAAATTAAGATAAAATGCCTTTAATTATCAAAGCAACAGCTATTTGTCCCATCACAAACTGTATTTCATCCTTGAAGTGAGACCAAGCCCCCAGTCTAGATGCGCTTATTGTGTCGCTGTGACACCAGGCAGGCTTCAGCTGGTTTCCTTTCAAGAGACAGAGAGGAAGGTGGCTTCCTGTCAACTGCCATTCAACAATTCCAAGAAAGGAAATTCTAAACAGTGGCTGGAGGTGGGGGAAGGGCGCAAAATCAAGAACGAATGTTCTCCGCCTCCCACCTCAACCCAGAGCTTAAGGCCTGCTGATTAGACCAATTATCATTACTTAATAAGTTTTCAATACTGCTCTACTCAAACAGAACAAAAAAATTTAGTGACACCACAAAGGACTCAAGGAACAACTGTGCGGATTCAAGTTTCCATTACGGAACCCAACCTGAAATTGGAGCCTCAGCCTAAGTATGCAGCATTCAAGGAGTGAGGTATGTGAGAAAGTTGAGATGGCACAAATTTTTAGAGGAAAAGCCTTTTGTGTGTGTGTTACTTGGCCTCGACTCTTAGTGCCTCCGGTGTGAATGGTGAGGCTGTGTGTGTGTGTCTGTGAGTATGGGTCTGGGTGTGGGTGTGTGCATATGTGTGTGAGTGCATATGTTTGTGTGCGTGTGTGTTTGTGTGTGTGTGCATATGAATGTGTGTGTGTGTATGAGTGTGTGTGCGTATGTGTGTGGGTGTGTGTGTGAGGGCATGGGTGTGAGTGTATGTGTGTGTGTATGTGCATATGTGTGTGTGTGCTTGTGTGTGTGTGAGTGTGTGTGTGTGCATATGCGTGTGTGTGCACATGTGTGCGTGTGTGTGTGTGTATTTGTGTGTGTGTGTGCGCGTGTGTCAATTCTGAGGCTGTGTATGTGTGTGTGTGCGTGTGAATGCTGAGGCTGTGTATGTGCGCACTGTGTGTGCATATGTGTTTGAGTGTGTGTGCACGTGTGTGTGTGTGCATGTCTGCGTGTGCGCATTTGTGTGTGTGTGCGCATTTGTGTGTGTGTGCGTGTGTGAAAGCTGAGGCTGTGTATGTGTGTGTGTGTGTGTGTGTGTGTGAATGCTGAGGCTGTGTGTGTGTGTGTTTTAACAAACTATTGATTAGGTTTGTTTGCTGGCTGGCTGGAGACTCATTAACAAACAGCTGAGAGGCTGCTTTTTCAGGATTTTAATCCCCCAAATCTTTAGTGTCTGAAAAGGCTATTGGGCTGCCCCCCTGCTGCTTTAGCTCAACCCTGGCACCTGGGTCACTGTTCAGCCAGGCCCAATGTCAGCATTGTGGTATTCGTATAGAAAACAATCTAAGTCTTATCTTGACTTCTGTGGGATGAGGTGCAGAGTGGCTACATAAAGAGCAGTTGTAACGACCAAATCATTAACCTGTTGTAACCTGCAGCACATCTGTCCCTGTCGCCAGGGTTGGCCAGGAAAGGTTTTATCTGTCCCTTAAAGAGTTAACCAACGTCAGGCAGGGCAAGTCACTTTTATTTATTTGGCAAGGATGGGATGGTTGGGGAAGATGAGAACACCTCAGCCTGTCCTCAGAAATTGAAGCTATTTTCCTATTTTACTTTCCATTGCCAATTATCTCCCCTCTCTTGCTCATGCCGGGAACACTTCCAAGGACACCCATCATTATACATCACACAGCTGCGCCTAGTCCGATCCCCATCTCACATCTGCATAATAATGTCCAGCTGAGTCAGTGGATAAAGACCTTGCCTACCTCACACCATCATTGCTCCCAAACCACACACTTTCCCCATCTCACCAACATCCAACCCTATCCCACTGCCCTGCCTTGCCTGTCATGCTCAAAGCATCAATGCCAGTTGTGGCACTCCCTCTGATACGATCAAACCTAATGCACCCATAGCCTGAATGATTCATCGCCATACCGGGTGTTGCATTTACCCATTGAGTCTGTGCAGGAATATGAAGTGTGCTTTTAACATACCAAGAGGGCATGAAGGATTGTGCAAATCTATTTTGAAAGCACCACAATTGTACATTCATAAACTTTCAGCAGAAACATTTCTTTGACTGAACGTGGAAAGACCCAGTGCAGTAATGGTTCAGATTAAATGAAGCCTGGGATTGGCTTTTGCACTGGCAGCTCCCACAGTTCACAACAAGAATGAAACATGCATTTTACACTAGTTCCTAATGCTTTGAGCTTCTCAGGGCTCCCCCATGTACCATTAGTTTTACACAAGCATAGGTTTTGTTTATTAGTGCATGTGGGAGCCTGCAGGCTGGCATGGCAATATCATTTTTCTCTGTTAAGTTTGAATAAAAACAAGAGAACAAAAAACATGCTCCCCTCTATCCCAGCCCAGTAAAAGACATGGCACAGAAAAAACAGCAGTGATTTCTCTAAATGGAGGTGCCCAAAAATGTATTTCCAAATCAGCACGGACACTTCCTAAAACTCAAAGAGCCATATAGGAACAAAGAATGCATAAACTGATAAAGGAAAATTAAAAAGTTTCGATTTCGCTGGTTTCAGTGGGCAAAGACTGAGCCTTTTTTGAATTGAAAGCAACAACAAGATAGGCTCAGATTGAGTACGGAACACATGCAGCCAAATCTCCTTCAACTTTAAGCTAAGCCATCATATACAAGTTGAGTGCACAACTATCCTGTGATTGGCCAGTAAAATAGGATCTAAAGACACAAAGAGAATTAATAAAGTGAGCTGTAATTGTATAGTGCTTTTTATAACCTCAGCATATCCCAAACCATTTTGCTGTCAATGAGATACTTCAGTACAGAGATAGTAAGAACTGCCGATGCTGGAGTCAGAGATAACACAGTGTGAAGCTGGAGGAACACAGCAGGCCAGGCAGCATCAGAGGAACAGGAGAATTGACGTTTTGGGCCTAGACCCATCATCAGGACTGAAGTTAAGGGACTAGGCCTGAAACATCAACTATCCTGCTCCTCTGAAGCTGCCTGACCTACTGTGTTCCTCCAGCTCCACGGTGTATCGATTACTTCAGTACACTACTGTTTAAGACAGGCAGAAGTGGCAGAAATTGGGAATAAACCATCAGCTGGTGCCTGTTTTGCTGATGTTGGGTCAGTGAGAAGATTTATGCACTTCTTGAATTGTGTCTCAGTGTCCATTACATCCACCTTTGAAAACAGTGGGGGTCGCTGTTTAACATCTCATCCTAAAGAAAACAACTCTGACAGTGCAGCACTCCCTCAGTAACTCAGTGGAGTATGGGTTATCTGCTCATGTGGGTGGAGTGGAGCTGAATCAAATCAGTATTTTTTAAAATGTCCTTGAACTTTAATCTCATTTATATGATCTTGCAGATAGTGTCCAAGTTGAAATTGAGAATAATCGACCATTGTGGGTATTTTATCATCAGTCATACATATTATATATCCACTCTTTCTGAGCTGGCTGTGACGTTGGGAGCTGTGATTACAGACATTCCTGCTCTTTGAAGTAACTCTGTGTGGGGCACTCTGTTCTCCCATTCGATGCCTCAGATGTTCTGAATGCATCTCCTATGGAATCAGTCTGCTTAACATGTAAGGACAATGTAGTCTTGTGTCTCACAAGCCTGTAGAAGAGTGCATATTAACACAGCTTTATTGATCCCACACTCTGTGATATCATTGTGTAAATTTGATAGCTAGCTGGGGTCTTCAAATCTGTAAATTTCTCCTGGGATCCTGTCTGAGCATACTGATTTCTTTGAGGGTAAAGATCAGATGGCCTTGTCAAGTTGCAAAACATAAGTTTTCACATTTAGGCCAATCTGGAAGTTTGTCTATTGCTTACAGTGGATTGGTATTTAAACAGACCCCCAATACATTTCCTGTCCACGAGCAGAGCTCCCTGTCAGTGCTAGGAGTAGGCGAGCAACTGCATGAGGGAGGACCATGCACAGTTTGCAGGAGTTTATAAAAATTCCTCATGCCATATTGATCAACATGGTCTTGAAGTTCTCTGATTTGTTCACCCCCCCACAACCTCCTCCCCCCCCCACACCCCACCATGTTTCTTGCATCCTATGAAATATTTGGTGCAGGTTCCATTTACTCTCTTGGAGTGATTTCTCAATTATGGATGTGTCGATGATTCCTAATTTAATCTCCATTAATTAATGGTTTAATCTCCTCTGCCAATTTGCTTCGAACATCGTTCTCATTTAACCAATCTTGATGGTTTCTCTTGTTTTCCCAGGACAGTACTGGCAGCTTCGAGATCTGTTGGTTTGAAAGTTAACCATGCCACTTCAACACCATCTCGTGGGTTTTCTTTGGAGGATGGTTGTTCCCTGAGTGTGAGCCTTAATTGTTCGTGGCTCTCTGCAGATGCAATTTGCCACACATTTGGCTTTCTTCGGTGTCTAGTGCATGTTGTCCTTCATTTCTGTGTGATAATAAATTTTGTCTTGGAGCATGGCATCTTTGGGTGCGGAGAGCACTCGCATAATCCAGTGATCACAAAATCTTTTACGTGATGGTGAAGTGAATCTGATACCAGTGTTTAGATTTTGGGTGCAGCTATATATTTTTGCACTTTGCCTCTGTCTAAAGATTGTATTGGAATTGTCTAAGGATTGTATTGAAAGATTTGGCATATTTCAGTGGTTGCAGAGACTTTGGCAAATCATGTCATTGTTTATGTATTTCCCCACCTTGTTTCCTTGAACACTATCACAAGCCTGGCAGTTAGCTACTGGTCTTGCACCAAAGTCCCCTTTCACAATGAGCTTATTCTATTGCGGATTATTTGCAATAGTTCTGTCCTGGCCATCAGGATTTGTCCTTGACAACCGCAGGACTAGGCATTGTTGAAGCACATATACTGACAGTTGTTGCATACTTTGTTGACAAGAGGTGATTATTTTTGCCATGAGGGCAAAAAGCTTCCCAAAGTCAGGTTTTGGACCCCAAGTGCGGTCACTAGTTGAAAGTTTAGTGCTGCAGAGCTCTGGCCAAGTTATAAAGGTGCAAAACCCTGTTTGAACTCTTGTTTCTTTTTCTAGAAATGCTGCCAAGCCAGCTGAGTTTGTTCAGCATTCTCTGTGTCTATTTCAGATTTCCAGCATTTGCAGTACTTTGCTTTTCTAAAAGCCATGCAACTGTCCTCCTGTTCTCTCAGATGTCATGGAGGGTGCTACAACAATTTTGAAGCCTCAAAAAGCAGTCACAGAGGAAAATGGTTTGGGAAGCACTGTCCCAGGGAGAGTATCCAAACTTTCTGTAAAATCAGATTTGACATCACACTGACAAAGCAGACACAACCTCTCACCTCCTGCCTACCCGGAAGAGAATGTAGTTTGCAGATAGCTCTGTCAGTTGGCCCTCCTCTGCTAAGCAGGTTTTACATAAGCAGCAATATCAGTATTATTTTGCTATAGCACCCTGCCACCAAAAGTAGCTCTGTGTTGTGGTCAGGAACAGTTCTTCATCAAGTTTGAATGTTTCAAGAAGCTTAGTAAAATTTGTGCACTGTGTGGGTGAGTACAAAATGAATGAATTTTCTTTTTTTTCCAGGATGTAACAGCATGTGTGCGAAGGCACTGGCACGATAAAAAAATACCTGCACGTGAGTCCATTAGAGTGGAGATGGTTTGGACAGATCACCTTTCTCGATCTTGCCCATCTGCTCCCACTGGCTTAACAAGATGACTGGAATTGTGTTGGCTGCACTCGATGATCTACAGCGCCTCTGCACCCATGCTGACAAACTTTGCATTGCACACACTGCTGTGCTACAATGCTTCCAGTACCACTAAGGCAATACCATTTCCTCTGCTGATTCCATCAAGGCAGCTATTTGTTTTTTCGTGCATTTAGGAAACAGTGATTGGAAATGGATAGTCTCCTTCTTGCATGGACACCAGCTCATGTGGTCTTCTCTCCTGTTTGTCCTTTGGACAACATAACTGCAGGGATGTGGCTGCTGCCTTGCACAAGCAGCTATGTGAAGCTATAGCGGAGAGCTGGATGATTGTCAGGGACCATTTTCAGTTATCCATTTAGCTCTGAAGTAGGACTGCGGTTGACTACTGTAAAAGGGGCTACTTCCGACACATACTTCAACATCTATATACAGGAGGCATTCATAAATATTTGCTGCATCTTGGTACAACAGCGGGGCATTAGTGAAAAATTCCAGCCTTGACATTTCTATATCTTAAGCCTTCGGTCTACTGAATTTAATCACTCTCTAGGTCAAGTCTTTCAGTTTCACCCCTCTACCCTGCAACAGAATCTCTTCTCTCCCAAACATTGCCTTATTACACAAAAGGAGACAAGTTTACCTGAGACATTTCAGGTTGTATGGGTTGACAGTGGGTTTGAGTCAAAGAAAAAGGCAAATTGACATCAAACCTACTGAATTAGAACCTTTGCCCCAAGTAAATAAGCTCCAAATGATCCCACTAAAAGGAGAGGTTCACAACAAAAACTCCTTTACTAAATATTGCTGAGACAACACAATGCATGTTTCACTGTACAGAATGCTTGAGATGTTCCGGTACACTCAGTGACTATATAAATTCAAGGGTTATTGTTTTAACTGCGATTCCTGAATTTACTGCAGTTACATTGGATCAGTGGCAGGTTTGATGGATTGTTCCCTCTTGGTCAAACAAGGCCCCATTTGCACCAACTGGTTACCTCCCTCCAGTGACCTCTTCCAGCAAGGAAAAATAATCAATTACAGATGGAAGTGAAGTACTGAGGTAGTCTGCGGTTCTGGTTCTGATATGGACAGAAACAAAATACTTTAGACGGACCCACAGATCATTGCTTAGCACGATCCCAGCTTCAGGCAGTGCCCACACACCACATGGTTCAATTAGCAGTCTGTATCCTAACTGCATTGTAACTCTCCTGATCCTTGGCCACCAGACAGCACATTTCAGCACCAAGTAAGAGGAGCTGCCTGTTTTTTTGTTTATTTGTTTTGAACAGAAAGTCATCACCTAGCAATGGGTGACAGAGTGGAGTCACTATGGAACCTTTGCCAGGAATCTCAGCTCAGGAATGATGTTGAAGAGCAGAAGGTAAAATAATTGTGGACTCAGATCAGACTTGAGTTATAACTTGCATTATAGTTTATTCATCTTCTTGAGTCTCATTAAAACATATGTATACATTAGGCATGAGTACAGGCGAATGCACCTACAGTACAGTGTCCAGATTTTTTTCTTCTTTTCTGTTTCCAAAAATAAGTCCTGTTGCACTCAGTGAGACAAAACACTCAAAAATAAAAACCGTGGGAACTGCTCCAGTCAGTCAACAAAGACCAAAGCAGCATTGTGTGAGACAGAGCCAAAGAGAAACTTCAAATTTCAAAGTGGCAACAGTTTTTGTCAAAGCACCCAGAAAGGATTTATCAGTTCATACTGTTACATGTGCAACTGTCCTTAAGCTGCAGTCAGAGAATGAATTGGTGATGCTTCATCCCACCTCACCCCAGTTTCTTAAAGGAACATTTTGTTAACCAATCAGGGCACCATGATATGGAGAGGGCCACTGTAATCTTTCAATGTACAGGCTGACCTGTTTTCCATGTCTGTCTAATGCATATTTATTTTTACCCCTACTCTCAAGAACAACCAAAATTGACCACAATCATAAAATAAGCAAATTAATCATACCCCAAATCTCACACAATAATTTAATATTAGATGGAACAGTGATTCTGGCTTCAGGACTGGTAACACACTAGATAGGTTAGGGAGTATGAAGGGCTTTGACTGATGGTGGAAAGGCTCTGCAGCAGATAAGAGATCATTCCTTTCACCTCTTTATTCACTGTTTGAATCCCAGGACAGAATAGCAGCCATTGAGAGCACTGTATAATGAAGCAGCTCAGGATAGTCATGGTTGGTGCTAGGAGTGAATGAAAACAAATCTATAGAACCTTGAGTGCTTAATACATAAACCAAAGTAATAATTGTGAAGTTTCTAAGGTAAGTTTAGATTTAATGGTTAGAGAGGGCTGGAGCATGAAAATATGGCAACGTGAATTTCCTGGAGAAAGAATAGCACACAGAGCAAGGGATAGATTAAAAGACTTTTCTGAAACACAAATGAGGCGGATTGAGAGAAATGAAGTGCCAAGGCACCTTATATGGCAACTGATAGAGTGATGGCTGATTAGTGAGGCTGGAGCTGATTATTTGTCCGGAGTAGGGGAATGGAAGATACAGGTTGGATATGCGGTTGAAGTCAATAACTGAAATAAAAATGGGTGAGAGGGTAAAGGAATTTGGATATGAGATTAAAATAAGTATTGTTTAAAAAATACACCAAAAAACGTCCCAAATTTTACTCTCACAAAGCAAACTAATTAATAAATGTCTGCCAGCAGATGACAGATGGGGATGCAGGTCTATGACAGATTATGCAACACTCTACCGTGGGAACAACAGCATGTTACAAGACGCTTCAATGTACCAGTACAATGTTTGTAAGGGCAGTGAAATATCCCAACACCATTAAACTTGTTGAACAACTTTACCTCTGCACACTGACTTTTGGGCAGATTCTGAGCTTAACATTACACAACACAGTTTACGGTTCAAACAAAGCTACAGGCAGGGACATTGTGTGGAATGGGTTACACTGTTTGGAATCCAACAGTTATTATCCTGTTAGTCTATAAAAATCGGATGACACCAAAAGGTGCTACGTGTGGGATCAAAGTTATTCAACAGAGTAAGTGACACTGTGAGGAAACATGTGCTTCAAGCAGATTGTATGTCAGGCAACACATAACACTTGGCATAAATCACCATTTGCATTGTGATAAGCTGTACTGGGTTGCTGCCGTTATACGCACCAAAACCACAATGGAAAGGAAGATAGGCAGTGGAAACAGAATCCACTCTGGACTGAATCTCCTTCACAATGAACAGACCCCCCCAAGCTGTGAGCAAAACAGGGGGCGTAACATTTCATTCTCAAAGATTAAGCACCCAAAGTTGAAAAATAAAGGGATTTTGATCGGCAAAACACAGTCCAAATATTTAAGATGAGCATTAATGTCAATTTAATAATTAGATATTTCATTTTGCCTACTGTTAACTTTTAAGAAAAGAATACGTCTGCTTACCAGTGTGTAACTACCTGTCAATGCTACTTGGAAGCAGAGTGAACATGAGCTCCATGGAACAACCGGAAGAAATTGCTGATACCTCCAATGTCATCTCCAATGTAAAGGCTCATTGAAAAATACTACAAAACAGGGTTGAGGATCACGTTGCATAAAGCCAAAGCTGTGCTCCTCGCTGTTTAAACTAAACACCCTCTCTCTAACTCGCTCTTGGGAACTTTAAGTTTGTTCAATGTTTCAGGAATTATAAATTCACTCGTTTAAAATCAAGTGTGGAAAATACCCAGAAAACATAAGTTTCAGTGTAGGAGCAAATTATTGCAGATGCTAGAATCTATACTGAAGATGGATGGATGCTGCCTGACCAGCTGTGATTTCCAGCATTTTGTGTGTGTCTATGTGTGTGTGTGGCTTCACCCAGTTCAAAATACATGATGGAAATAAAGGCAACAGATGTCTTGGGAATTTCAGTTTTTATTTTCTGGTGTTTTAAAAAGCTGAATTGATTTACTCACTTCATTCCACTTAACCACTGCACCCCTCAAGGATGGCAATGTTGCTTCACGGAAGTGCCAAAGATCGAACTTAAATTGTACAATTCAAATTGTGGAGTGTGAACTAAAAATATATCCACAAAAAAATCAAAAACTAGAGATAAGATAGAAACTTGAGGGGGTAGGTGGGAGTGATTCCCAGAAATTGAGCAACTCACTTGCTGAAGTCAAAGTGTGTTATGTAATCTGAGCACCAGATATGTTTTGTGTAATCTATTGTGTAATTCATATTGTTTAGTCCTTGCAAACCAACTATCGGTTAATTAACGTGTCCAGGGGTTCCAAAGGATCAAACTATTTTCACAGAATCACAGTACAGAAAAGGCCCTTCAGCCCATTGAGCCTGAACTGCCAAAAAGTTCTGTTTTCTAAAACTTGTGTGGATAAACTATCAATCATTATAATAATGGTATAAGTTCTGACAGGGGCATGAGCAGGCATAAATGGTAAATGAAAATTGCCCGGCTCTCTCTTCAATCGACTCAGCATCTATTTCTATGGAGTGAAACAGAATGAGTTTAGTGCTGGCTGTGGGATAAATAATCCACTGTGCAACTCCCAATTTATCTAATGGATAGAACTATTGTCTGGATCTTTTTACCATTGTTTTCCACGTTGGTTGCAGTGTAGCAATGAAAAGAATTGCCGGTCCATAACCCTGGGGATATAAAGTAGAACCTAACCCTAATGGTGCACACTTGGGACAACATTTTACTGGAGCAAGGTAACCATAAAACATAGTCGCTCACTCCCACATCAACATCCCTCCTGACCCCAGGCCACCTGAGCAAAGAGTGGGGATAAATGAGTGCTATTCTAGCTGGCAGTCAGTAACTAGTGGTGTGCCTCAGGGATCGGTGTAGGGACCGCAATTATTTACAATTTATATAGATGATTTGGAGTTGGGGACCACATGTAGGGTGTCAAAATTTGCAGATGACACTAAGATGAGTGGCAAAGCAAAGTGTGCAGAGGACTGTGCAACTTTGCAGAGGAACATAGATACATTGAGTGAGTGGGCAAAGGTCTGGCAAATGGAATACAATGTAAATAAATGTGAAGTCATTGGTAGGAGTAATAGTAAAAAGGATTATTACTTGAATGGTAAAAAGTTGCAGCATGCTGCTATGCAGAGGGATCTGGGTGTCCTTGTGCATGAATCACAGAAGGTGAGTCTGCAGGTACAACAAGTAATTAGGAAGGCAAACGGAATTTTGTCCTTCATTGCTAAAGGGATTGAGATTAAAAGCAGAGGGGTTATGTTGCAGCTGTACAAGGTGCTGTTGAGGCCACACCTGGAGTACTATGTACAGTTTTGGTCTCCTTACTTGAGAAAGGATGTACTGGCACTGGAGGGGGTACAAAGGAGGTTCACTAGGTTGATTCTGGAGTTGAAGAGGTTGGCTTATGAAGACAGACTGAGTAGATTGGGATTATATTCATTGGAATTCAGAAGATTGAGGGGGGATCTTATAGAAACATATAAAATTATGAAGGGAATAGATAAGATAGAAGTAGAGAGGATGTTTCCACCGGCAGGTGAAGCTAGGACAACAGGGCATAGCCTCAAGATTAGAGAGAGCAGATTTAGGACTGAATTGAGAAGGAACTTCTTCACCCAGAGGGTTGTTAATCTATGGAATTCCTTGCTCAGTGAAGTAGTTGACACTACTTCAGTAAATGTTTTTAAAGATAAGGTAGTTTTTTTTGAACAATAAAGGAATTAAGGGATACGGTGAGAACACGGGTAAGTGGATCTGAGTCCACGAAAAGATCAGCCATGATCTTATTGAACGGCGGAGCAGGCTCGAAGGGCCGGACAGCCTACTCCTGCTCCTAGTTCTTATGTTCCACTCTGAGACACAATGTACAACATGTCAAGTATGCTATGAGGATCAGACAGCTTCGTCTTTTACCAGTTTTCTCTGTTCCATCCAACTACCCTTGAGAACTTTTGTTCCTGTGGCCATTCTTCATACATGCACTTAATCAGAAAAGGGAACATTACAGCCAAGTTTGATCTTGTTCCCTCATAACGAAAGCATATATGTATATACCTACATGCACACACGTATTCCTTGGGTGGGGAGTTGGTGGGTTATCAGAAACAGGAACTCTGTCTGACTTTCCCTGCTCTTACCTTCAAGGGCACAAAGACCCATTTAAGATCCCCATTGCTACTCCTAGCTAAGCCCAACTAATGCAGGTCAGACAAAACAAAACTGACCAAGCCTGGGAGCTGCCTGATCTGTGTGGCTCAGTACACCTACTGAGTCAGTTCCCATTGTACGTTCAACACTAAGATCATTCACCTTGTCCATTCCTTGCTCCTGCTTCTACCTGAAAATGCACTCTTATCTAACTGGAGACAAAATCACAGTGGGAAATTACAACTGGCACGCAATTGACTCAGCAATGGTTAGTTCCCTTTCACAATGACGGAACCAACCTGAGATGGCCAAATCGTGCACAGAATCAAGCCCCTGACTTTGGGCCTTCAATGCAAGTTTCAAAAAAATCTTAGTTCCCATAAAGTCTAAAATATCTCAGACTTGTATCTCAGTCAGTGCCCTGTGCACACAACTGCATGCACATTGTTAGATTATAGCATCCTACCCATTATTGCTGAGATGTTCGATCATATAACTAGGGCTTATGTATATCCATACTACCTTAGGAGATCTCCCATTCATGTATGAAAGAACTTTTTCCAATTCATTCATGTCATGCGGGTGTCACTGGCTAGCATTTATCCCCCTTGCCTAATTGCCTTGGAAAAGGTCGTGGTGAGCTGCCTTCTAGAGCCACTACAATCTTTGGGGTTTGGGGACAACCACAGTGTTGTCAGGCTGTTCCAGGATTTTGACCCAGGAACGTGAAAGAATGGCAATATGATTCCAAGTCAAAAAGCTTGAAGAGGAACTTGAGCAATACAGGAAAAGACGTTGACCATCTCCCTCTCAGATGTGTGTCCCATAAGTCTTCCTGGATTTGGATTTCTCCATGTTTTTTTTTCCCACTGTTTTCACTTGCACAACAAATGCAAGAGGATTAGGGTGATAACAGGCACTGCTATCCTCAGGAGTACTCACACAGCACCTGGTATTTTTTGAATGGGAGATTTCTGGGTGTGGAGAGGGTGATCAATGATGTCAGTGAAAAAAAAATCTACTGATGGGTCTATGACAAAAAAAAAACACTCGTTAACTGGGAGAAAATAGCCAAGGAGATGAATAAGTAGGATCTGTTCCCTCAATAATTTTTTTGGCATGAGTTATAGCTCTTTCACTACTCCCAATACTGCAATTACTATTAATGATCCTCTAAGTCTATATATCTGCTGGAACAAAAGAACAGGACTATTCTATTCAGCACTATCCATCACTTAATGAGATCATGTCTAATCTGTGGTCTATAGACCTGCTTTTGCCTCATATCCTTCAATATGATGTGATGTTTCTCAGTGGAGGGATTAAGTGCAAATGATATTGCACAGGATGTGGACAACTGACTGCACCTTGGGGTAAATTCTACCCTTATTGTTCATTCTTGCTGCACCTTGTAAACATTGTTTTGATTTTCTCATCATAGCCCCTGCATGCCTTGCTGCTGCATCACACACTTTAAACATTGTCCAAGTGAATGAAATGTGGTTTTATAAACAACACAGCAATGCAATGGTTATGGGAAACTAGTGACATTTTGAGCATGTGTGTGTTTTTTAATACATATTTGTCCCAGAAATTCAAACATAATGAACACAGATTGATCACGGTCTACTATGGGCTCGATGACGACTCTGTGGAATAAACTGAATCAAGCAACCCGTCCATTTTTCTTTAGTCCAGAAAGGATGAAATGCGAATCGAGCTTCGGAACTCAAGTTTCCATTTCCCCAAGTTTACTTCTGCACCTCGTGACATGGAGCCATGAGTGGCTGAGGTTATCAACAAATTACCGCATCAACAAAGAAAAGTATCCAAACTCGAACCTCAATCCCCACCCCTCACCCTGCTTCTCTGCTGTTCCTTGCCTGATATTGGTCGAGGTGAGAACCCAATTCGAGCCAGTTTTGACCGATGTTTACACATGGCGAACTTTGGATTCCTGGTGAACAAAGTCTGAAAACAAAAATATTGCCAACAGTGCATTGGTTTTTGACTGTGAGGTTGTTGCCTGGGAAGCCAGTGCCCAGAGGGTGTGGGAGGGCCAGGGAAGAAATCAGATATAAGTGCAAGGAATCCGGGAAAGAGAGCGTCGTACAATCCCAATAACAAACGGTCTGTTCAACAAAGTTTAGGACCGGTCTCTGTTAACTTATTTTTTTTGAGTAATCCAACAGGCCTGGTATTGGGCAAGCCACTGTGGCAAACACCAGGAGGCGCAGACTTGTAATTAACCCTTTCCAGGCCACCAGTGTCGCAGGTACTGAGGCAAAGTGCCAGCAAGGGGCCCGGAAGCTTTCTTGACTACAACTTTTACTTGTTTTGATGTCCTGTCTGTCTGTCGCACTGCAGCAGCCGAGAGGAGAAAACAACAACAAAAAAAAAACAAAAGAAAATTCATCTCTGTTCAGGTCAAAGCAGCCACGAATGTCCCAAATCGATTAGAGATGTCCGAATGCAAAGATCTCCAAGTTTGCATGGGGCTCCGGCCTTTAGAGTCAGTAAGGTCGTCTGTGCAGTGAACCGACAGGCACTGCAAATGGCTGCCAGTCTGGACTGATGAAGCCTTGTTCTGGGAAAGCTCGTGGGCTGGAAAGGGTTAATAAACAGAATAAGTTTTAGTTTTCTGGATTAAGGACCATTTTTGCTTTTTTTCTTTCTTTCATAAACAATCTGACTTTTCTCATTGAGTTTAAAGCAATTCCTCAAACCAACGGCAACCCCTGTAAATGCTCCTCTGTACAACCTGCTGTGTGCGACCTCACCTTTTCACTTGAACTGTGCTGATCAAGTTTGGCAAGAGCTGAACAGCAGAATGCAAGATCATCAATGGTGCAACCATCCTCCAATTCAGAAATTACAGCTTTATAGTTTGAGGAAGGACTCATCGTCACCTGTCAATCATGAACAATTTAGACCTAGAAATGGATTTACTTTAAAGGAATGATGTATAAAGTAAATTCATTGGCAACCAAGAAAATCAGATTCAACTAAGTTTGAAACTGTGTTCCTTTTTGTGATTGCTCGTCCAAAATTGAACACACAAATTTTTTTATTTAAAACAATGCATCATCATTCTGCTGTTATCACTCTGAAGGTGGTTTCCACAAGAATGGTATTTTCATCTCTACACAGTGGGGTCCATTCTTTTGAAATTCTGGAACTCCTGAACATTGCAGACCTCTCCCCTTACAAAGGGGTGTCACTCCTAGTTGATATAGAGCAAGAGAAATCGATTAGAATTCCCTTCAGTGAAAAAAAATAGTCATATCGACACTTATTGCTTTCCTTCACTTACGGTTAATCATCCTGACATGAATAAACAAGTTAGCAAGATGTCCTTTTGTTTTGAAACAAGAGTTAATTTTGGCGAAAAGCCCTTAAATGATAACATCAAAGGTTCTGCCCTGTTAATGCTGCATTGGTTCACCTTTGTAACAGGACAGATCCAATTAGTTTTTGCTCCATTGTCCATTTCTTGCCATACAGTACAATTGCTCAACACTCATAACAGAAGGCTGCATGTGCATGAAGTGTTTCTTGAGTAGTGAAATGGAATAGGTGAGGGCTAACTCAGAGCCCAACTGTCATCAGAAAGAATGAGACCATCAAACTGCTACTGCCCAAAGTGAATTTCACCTCAGATTAATGCGCTTCAGTGAAGCACACCAAGCTTGACCTGAGCACACCATCCAGTTACAAAATACTGATTCTGTCACACTTTGGCTGGAGAGTCAAAGATATATAATCTTATTACCTGCAAATGTCACATCCCACAGTTATTTAAACTTTTCCTTTCTTTTTTGAACTTTAATCAGCTATTCTTCTTGTGATGATTACAGAGAATGGATTTCTCTCAGCCAATTCCTCATACAAACTGCAGGATTCTGATCTCAGAAGTGGATGCCAATTGCTGCAGTAATGGACACGCTGCAGTTAATTTTGTCCTGAGCAACGAAGGGGAATCATTTGCCTGAGTTCCCACTCTTGATCATGTGTGTCTGTCAGCCATTGACAGGTTTGGGTTTGGTTATGACGCCTCGTGTTTGAGCAGTTCATTGATATTCATTTGCAATCACACAATGAAATTAGCCCTTGAATAAAGTAGCCAAGGTGTCCCAGTGCTGATGAAAACTACTCAGCATCATTCAGTGCTTATTTGGAATAACATAAGGTGCTGTCCTCCAGGTTCAACAATAATGCTCATCGATGTCTTCATTCAGGACACCACTAACAGTGTTCATTGTGAGATGAGCCCAATTTTACAAAGAGCCTTGGCAAAGATTGTTTTTAAATTGGAAACACGGAGACAAAATTGACAATAATTACTTCCTAATCTATTTAAGGCCATAAAAATAAAACAGATACCACCTCCCTGTAATCAACTGCCTTTGCAATTCATCTTTGCATCATTTGAAACAACTGAAAAGGTGAAATTCTTCTGTCACAGAATTTCATTCCATTCCTTAGCCCCAGCATTACTGTGTGCATAGTTGTCAGATGGTGAGGGAAGTTTCACAGTTCATAAAGATGGCAACCTGCCCAAAAACCTAATGTCCAGGAGGTACAAAACAAGGCCAAAAAAATATGAAATGGCATTTCAGGTTTATATTTAGTACCATAAAGAAATGAGATTATGAGTTAGTCAGACAACGACAGTATTCAGCTCAGACCCAGCTGCTCTCCCAATAGCTGGTAGCCAAGAGGAGGCGCGTAGTTATGACTGGCAAAAAGAGTTTCCAGCTCCCATGAATTTCTAAGTCTGATTGCTTTGTCACAACAGAATATCAACTGTCAGGAAGTCTTGGGATTATAAAAGTGCCCAGTAAACCAAAGTGCTCACAACTCTGAAGGGGCAGCTTACAAAGACTGATTCTGCAATCCCACATTCCCAGCATCAAACAATAAGTTGTGCTCAGAAGTGTGGTTTGGAGAAACAGAGCTACAACATTATAACTCTACCACTGACCCATGCTTCCTGTGAGATTAGGGTTGCTGAATCACCCCAATGGAGCACATTAAAGATGGGAATCTCTCTTTTCTCAATTCTATTTTTGAAGACAGGATATTTTTAGATTCAGCAAATGTAGAAATGTATCAAAATAACAACATACAGTACACCATAGCAATCACTAGGGCAGTGGGTTACCTTATACAGCATGAGAGCAACTGTCCAATCATGTAGATTGCTAACCCTCTGGTTGTCTTGGAGTCTGCAGGAATTCAACATTGATCTCCCAGCCACAAGCAAACCAAAATGGAGATTATAGGGGCACAGAGAATAACAGAAATAGAAGACATGGCTGTTGGACTGACAGTCAAGAATCATCCAATCTGTTAACAAGGAGTCGCTTTGCTTTTCATTTGTGTAGAAAAACAATGTGCTGCACAAATGGACATCAGGCCATTAGACGCAGGAGGTCATGTGCTGAATCCTTCGGGAAAACGTTCCAACAGAGTTGGCAACCGAGCTGTTATCTTTGGACCTTGGTTGGCTCGCTACCCAATGGTCTTCGAGCTTGTATTGACAACCTACCCAACTGCAATATGGGGCTTCAGTGTTATTCCCATTCTTGCTTTTCAGCAAAACAAAGTAATTGAATGCTAAGAGGAGGCAGGGTCATTCCAACTTCAACACCGAAGTGAATAAGCCCTCTAATATAGCGTTATAATGGTACTGGTGTGGTGGTTTTAGACTATTCTGGGTGGGGTAGAGGAGCTTGGCAAGGAGGGACCACCCTCCCACTTGTCACTTGTCAAGCTAGGGATCAAATGAGAAAATGATAGACTTACATCATGAAGCATTTGGAGCATTCTGAGACAGCAAGATCTAGATCAGGATTGTAACCACTAACAAAAAGTCATGCCCTGCTCTAGAAGACAGTACCTTATTGTAGGCTAATGTCAATGGTTTACTATGACCAGGCTAACAGTGTTCTGTTATCCAAAACAAACCAAAGTGCATGTTTCTCTACGTTCCAACATACATCAGTAATTCAATTGCTTGATCAAACTGGTGCTTTAGATCATCCACTGCACAATGAAATGACTACTCAACATTCAGCTCTACTGATATTCAGCACAACACATCCTGGTTAGAAATACGCACCGTGCTCTTTTTCGCGCGCTTGCGCGCCGATGTCACGCTGAACACCTCGAACAGCTTTACGTTTTTTTTCAGCCCATGCGCACGCCAACTGCCCAGCTACAGACTACAAGTAACACGTTTGCTTTATCGCAACATTGTGTCAGCTGTCCTCGTGGAGAACGGCATCTAAAAAAAATAAAGAGGGCAGTCAGACTGGTCATCAGAGCTACACTCCTCCATCCGCCCCAGCACCCACCCCAAAAAAAAAACCCAGCGCATTCCATTATGAGATCACTGGTGATTAAACTGTGAGCCAACACAGGCTTTATCAGTGATAACACAAATATAACAAGTCTCTCTTCCGACTGTTCCCCTCCTTCAACTCCTGAAATTGCTGAATCTTCCGAGGTGATGTCCTATCAGCATGCTCCATGTAGAACCTCATCATTATGAGTCCCTCTGGACAGTGACTGCCAGCAAGTTATTCACCACTAGGAGGCACCACAGGCAAACCTTATCCTGACCTCACCCAATAACCATTCAACCGCACACACAACACACACCTTCCACCAGGGTGATCACTGAACAACACTCAGTTTATATGCCGACAAACCCTAATCCCAGGTGTTCAAGGTTGAGTTGCAGGACCGCAGTGTGCCAGGGTGGTTTCAACTCAACAGCACAAACATTATGGGCCAAATGACCTTCTCCTAACCAGGCTTCTAACTTATTCAACACATGCCACGGATTAAATCACAAATATATCAAGTTTATAAGGACAGACTCATAATAGGTATATCATCACTCCACCATTTAGTATCTATGGTGCAACTGTTCACCTCCTGAGGTGTAAAGGTGTTTTAGGACCTATGTGTAAACAACACAATTTGACACCATCCTTAAATGTTCTTTACTCCTCCTCCTTTACTTCTCACCACAACGCAGCCAAACTAAGGCCTGTGTTTCCATCACTCCAGCACATGGACACAAGCAAACTGTGGCACTCTCACCATGAGAGCCCAAGTCCCTAATAACTTCACTTTCACTAACTTCATCCCTTTTCGTCCTGCTACCCTCAAACCCGGCGCACACATAAACCTTTCGCTTGCCCTATCAACATTGATTGAAAACTAATTTCGCTCAGAAAAAGCAGCAATCTCATTTCTAATAACTTGTCAGATTCTACACCATGAAATCTGCAGGCAAAAACAAGGCCAGCAGCAGATGTGCTGAATTACTAGACAGGTGTGTTCACTCACAAAGCGGTATTGTGATAGTGAACATGGATTCCTGTCAATAATAATGGCATTCCTGAGTAAATGACAAACAAGAATAATTCAAACTGTTCTTAAAATATGTTCAAAATTTGAAGAAGAAAGTTATACTATAACTCCATCTATGCTGGTTGGATGTATATTTATGAACCTTAATCTCCACAAACTACAACCATCTTATTTGATCATTCTACATATAGACTGACACATGGCTGCGCAACGTTATA